AGATCCTACGGAAATACGCTGAGGCGGAGCAGATATTAGCTCAGCAAAAGTTATAGTAGGCTGAAGAACTCAGTAGCACTGTACATGTATAACACCTCGCATATAATTGTAGCTATCGTGTTGTAATATCGGAGCTTCGTATATCTTCATTTGCGCGAATGCGCGTGTTCAAAAGTCAAGCAAAATAATGATTTTTGAGACCGAGGGTCAGGTACGCGATCGTATTTTGTCTGTGTGACATTGTTGCTGGGACACTACGCCAGCAGCCCCCAAAAAGGAAACTTTATGATTCAAACACCCAATTCTACGTCGCGCGGGATAGGATAGCAGAGGTCGGAGAAAAGCAACTTATATTTTAGCGTGAAGACCAGCATTCAATCTTGAACGGGTCGTCTGCCCACTTCGTGCAACCAGATGGTTGTCTACTGGCCAAAGGAATCCCAACCTGGCTCAAACGGCGTGGGGTTGGAGTTCTATGTTCTGCAGGTAGAGCTTAGCACTTAGTCGATGGGCAAAATTCTACACAACTGACATCGTTGTGGCGCGCTGAGTGATCAGCGCGAGTGTCCGGATAGCCATCCTGGGCTCCTGTGTCGGAGGTTGCCATGTTGGCCGTTGCATTGAAGGCAAGCGACCTAGAGAGAGCCACAGAGCGGGACTCATCCTTTTCGCGCACGGTATTGCGCGCGTTGAGTGAGGCTAGAACCGAGTTGACATACACTGGACATGGTATTAGCCGTTGAGCGGGATGCGACTATTAGGAGACGAGCTCACCCTTGCTCATGAGCAGATGGAAGGGAATCCAGCTGTTCATGGACGTCAGGAACTGGCTGAAGATATCAAGACGAGACGCACAACGTCCGATCTGGTGTGACGACGACATTCTGAAAGTAGAATGAATAAAAATTTCGATGTTTTGCAATAAGATGTAACGAGCCATTATGAGAATCATCAGCTGCGTGAAGCTGTGACAAAAGTTGGAGTCGAGAGAATAAGCAGATATAGAGGCCCAACTCACGCCGTCGCGATCCCCCGACACATTACGTAAATGATCAGCGTGTAGATAATGTCTCTCGGCCTGTGCAGAATATTACCCGTGTGCGACAGTGTGTGGCGCGCAAACAAATAATTACGTTCGGATCCCCTGGTTGCCGCGAGACCGCAGGTAGTAAATGAGGGCAACGGTGATCAGAATGTCGCATAGGCATGCAGTGCCTTGCACTGGCCCACCAATCACCTGTGTAATATCAGCGCAATTCATCGGCATTGTGTTGTAAGACACTTGCAGAATATATACGGTCAGTCAGCGTCGACGCGAAGGGGACCCGGAATCTGTGGGACAGTTGTCATTGGACAACGAAATCCTGTGAGTTTTGATACAGCGTACATGTGCACGGTGAGAACTGAGGGTGTCTTCAATGCGAGAGACCTAAGAGAAAGTGAAACCTACCTATACCCAATCCTGCGAAATGTATCAATGGTAAATGGTGTTATGCTGAGGAATCACGCATAATACCGAAAGATACCCAGCCGAGCAAAAGCTGAATTATCTTAATTAGAGAAAGCTTTGCCGTATTCAGCCAGGAATACATACAATTATCCCGACTAGGATTATGTTCGAGCTTACTGGATATGGTCAGCGGAGTGAATGGTCATGCGAACCCATAGCGCCCACAGACCTGACCAAATTTGCCACGCATAGAAGCTAGAGGAAGTGTAGTAGTAATGCGCAGGCAACGAATATCTTCGCACCATTGGGTTATAATTGTGACCAGGGTCTAAGCAAGAGGCGATTGACGATGGGTACCACAATTGGGAACGCATACGTACAAGAGCCACATCTTCTGCCTGGAGCGTCGATTATTTAAGGCATCCATTACTTTGCACGAGTCGTTGAGCAATCACGGCAAAACTCCTGCGGTAATAATATGCTGGATCAATGATAGTGGGGTGGATTATGAGATACTAACCAAGGAATTACATTGTCGGCGACAACGTTGCCATAATTCAAGATGATGAGGGTGTACAATGTATGTGCCACCAGTGCGGACGAGAGTGTATCCAGGAACCTTGAATCTGCTAGGTCACTTATAACTCGCATTCAGAAAACACACCGTACCATAGCATCCCTACCTGCATCAGACGGCGGAAATGTTCACCTGTAGCAGCGGCCCTGCAGAGAGAACAAACCATTGTCTTTAAGATCCCTCTGTCCTTGGGATAGTTGCGGTAATAGAGGTAGGCCTGCAGTACTCCGATGCCATACACTCTATGGGGTAGATTGGCAAACATTTATGATGCCACAACGGGCTGGGCGTTTCTTACACTGTGGCGAGCGCAAATCCTACAGCGAGGATCAGTGAACGGCGCATTTCCCAGAGCAGAGTGTCACCGAACCGATAAAGCCGTTGGCGAACTCCTCTTTGACAGCCGCTATCGCAGGGACACTTGGAGCCAAGGGGCAGGTGGGCGAGTCCATGAGTAAGGTGAGCGCCGTGGGGCGAAGAGATACACAGAGAAGCAGTTGCTTTTGTATCAAGATGGATGTCCATTTATAGACGGTCACGCGAGGGCCGTGACATCTGGAATTAGGTTTATTATGAGGTCGGGGACGATGGGGTACACTAAAACTGCCTGTAGTACTCCGGGATACTTCCCGAAACCGGCGTTCCTGAGCAGGACCGTGCCGTGTAATGCTACCTACCTACCTACCTACCTGCTACAGTACCTAGATAGTCACCCCCCATATCTATGGTGCTCTATGCACTAATCACATGCCTAGTCGTCGACTGCAACCGAATGGGCGCGGAAGCTCCTGATCAGGCAACGATCAATTGCGAGGATCAAATCACACATGGATGAGATGGACTGGGGTAGACTCGGCTGTGCTTGTTGACGTCTAACTGACTTACATAAGTGGTGACTCACTCTCTATACCTCATTCCGCACATAAGCCAGAGGGTTCCTCTCACTCGAGGTGAACAGGGACGATCAGAGACCCCGAATCTACTTATTACTTGACACAGGAGGGGGAGGGGGGATACCATTTCTACTGCGGTAAAGAACCAGGAAATCCCAGTGGGTGAGAAAGATATAAATTGGGCGACCAAGAACATCAACTTTTCATCTAACAGAAGCTCCAGAGGCTGACAGTTCATCCCCGGCCCTAGGTAGGCTAGACTCAGGAATAGTTATTTATACTGCGGGCAATCTTTCGAATAGCCACCCATATCAGTTAGAGATGGGCTCCGTTGAACTTGAGATCTGCTTGATATGAAGGGTCGCCTTGGAGGGAATCAAGCTTTAAATAAATTATAAGTATGAGTTCAACAATGGGAAGGCACAAATAAGTTGATTCAGATACTGCCTGGCAAGCCTTAGGTTGACGGATCTTCAGAGGAGGTAGGTTTCCTTTTCCTATAAAAAACGAAGAAAAGTTGAGCAATTGAAAGCACAGAGGTCCCAGATATCCCGAGCATCTATCCCTCCTTTCTAAGAACGCTGGGTCTACTCTCCTCGGCTGCCGTCCTTCTCTCGCTCTCATAGCGGCACAATGTGGCTTATTCCAGTCATCTCCATGATGTCAACGATTCTTTGGGCGGTCTCCGCTGTGCTACGTTTGAATAGTAGCGAGTATCATATATATATATAACCCGCCCAGGTATCTTCATGAAGCATTGCGGGGCATACACGGAGTACCCACCATAACACGTCCGACGCCACCCGGACCAAGTTATTTGAGCTGTAAAAGGACTTGTGATCTTGGCTTGGTAGGCCAGATACTGATTTTGAAGATCCGAGAAATTTCGTCCGAACTTGCCACGGAGCGCTCCTCTAAAATTCCGGAGAACCGGAATCCGATGCAATTATGCGGACCTAGGCAAGAGCTCGACGGATGATCATCGCGGAGGGAAGCAATACGCACCCGCTAGGAAGGTAAGTGGATCCGCCCATACGCCGAGAAGTCCGTGTACAGCCTCTGGAATCTCCTCCCATCGTTCGGGTCTATCGGAGAACGTTCTTCCCACTGAACCCCTGCTCTTCAAGTTGAAACACTGCCTAAATTCGGCAGCATCAGCTCCCCAGATACCGGTGTCGGTGTCGATATCCGCGATAGAAATGTGTATGATCTGCCCTGTCGGAATCCTAATACATGAATCAGTCAGCCATACTGTAGGAGGAAAGCAATTACATACGGCAGTGTCATGCTTGTTTCCCCCGATATCATCGTAGGGCGTTCCGAGAGGCAGAGCGTCGTCTGCCATCGCGACGTGGCGATGAACCCGCGTTCTAATGTTGGAGTGTCGGTGGGACGGGTGAATAGCTCCTTGCGGAGTTTCGCCTGTGCGGCTTGGTTGATCGATAGCGCATGCAGCGCCTCCACAGAGAGGAGGGGTGTACCGTGCCATGTCCGATGATCTCTATAACTGTGAACTTGGAAAGATGAGATACCCCGCAGTGTATTCAAAAAGTTAATGAGGGCCATCATATTTGGACACGGGGAGTCGAACCCCGATCTGCCTCATCACTATTTCGAAGCATATATTATAAAGGTGGGAGGCTGCGTACCGTACACCATGTCCGATGATCTCTATACCTGTGAACTTGGAAAGATGAGAGATACCCCGCAGTGTATTCAAAAAGTTCATGGTGTACCCCATATTCGGACACAGGGAGTCGAACCCCGATCTGCCTCGCGCAACTTGTCCACTCAAATATTAGGAAAGGAGGCGGTGTACCCTACACCATGTCCGATGATTTTTGTACTTGTGAACTTGTCTAAGTACGTATCTATGGAAGCGGCGAATAAAAAGGGGACAAGAACCAAGACATTCGGACACAGGGAGTCGAACCCGATCTGCGTCACACCTCATCTACCGGGAAAGACTAAGAGAGGAGGCGGTATACCTCACACCATGCCCGATGCTTCCTATACCTGTGAACCTGACTAAGTACGTATCCATCGAAGCGGTGAATAAAAAGTAAATGTGACTGAACTATTCGGACACAGGGAGTCGAACCCCGATCTGCCTCGCGCAACTTGTCGATTCCAATGTCAGGAGAGGAGGCTGTGTACCATACACCATGCCCGATGATTTCGATACCTGCGAGGGCGGATAGGTGAGATATTATCGCAGCGGGGAATAAAAAGTAAATGGGACCGAATTATTCGGACACGGGGAGTCGAACCCCGATCTGCCTCGTCCAATGCCACGGATTGATTAACAATGGAGGCCGTGCACCGCACACCATGCCCGATGCTTTCTATACCTGTGAACCTGACTAAGTACGTATCTATCGAAGCGGTGAATAAAAAGTGAATGTGACTGAACTATTCGGACACGGGGAGTCGAACCCCGATCTGCCTCAGGTCACCATTCTTGGATAAAGGAGAGAGGAGGTGTACCGTACACCATGCCCGATGCTTTCTGTACGTGTGGAGGTGGATAGGTGAGCAATATTCTGCAGTTAGTACAAAAGAAATGGTCCTTGCCTCACTATTCGGACACGGGGAGTCGAACCCCGATCAGCCTCAGGTCACCATTCTTGAATGGTGTAAAGGAGAGAGGAGGTGTACCGTACACCATGTCCGATGCTTTTTGTACCTGTGAACTTGCTTAAGTACGTATCTATCGAAGCGGTGGATAAAAAATAGACAAGAACCAAGATATTCGGACACGGGGAGTCGAACCCCGATCTGCCTCGTGCAACGTCACGGATTGGTTAACAATAGAGGCCGTGCACCGTACACAATGCCCGATAATTTGGATATCTATAACCTCAGACAGCTGCGTGATATCCCGCAGTGGATTCAAAAAAGCGCTAGATCAAGAGCTTATTCGGGCACGGGGAGTCGAACCCCGGACTGTCTCATGCAACGGCTTGAGCAAGAGAAGAGGCGGTGTACCGTACACCATGCCCGATTCTTTCTGTACGTGCAATGGGGGTTAGGTGAGCGACTTTTCGACGCGGCGGATAAATGACCCTCTGCGAATCCCCAAGTCAGATCAATGCAAGCGACACTTAAGTCATGTTGAGTCCACGGCGCAGAATAAGTACGAGTGGAGACGCGGTGAGACGGGTCTCTGGGAGACAATCGGGGCGCTTGACGAGCGTGGAGACTCGGAGTCGTATTGAAGCGTTGGAAGCACCAGGCAACTTGAAGCGCCGGTCCGAGGACCGAAGGCTGTGCAGATGTTGTCGCATCTTTGTAGGAGAGAATCGCACACCGTGCGTCATCGATCTACCCGGACCCGATTCCATGAAGTGCACGGCCGACGCCTTCGTCATCTAAGCGTTGACATTTCCGCGTCTATGAGACCCTTTGGCCAGCCTAACTCCGCTGCAAAACTGCCCGCCGGCAATGCATCTCCGCCGTGGCACGACGACCACCTCGCCCGCTGCACGAGTGTGGGCTGCGATTTCCCGCGCGCTCGATGTAGGGAAATGAGCACGATACCGGCGTAATACAATCGTGGGCGACAGGACGCCACAGGCGCCTCCGCGCAATGCCCCGACGCGAGCGCCGTGCTTCACCCACAGACGCCGCCTCTTCTGCCTATCCGTTGCTCCGGTGTCGTTGCTCCGTCCATTCGGACGACGGGGAGCCTGAGGACGCGCGGAAAGAATGCGGTGCGGGTGCAGGTGCGTCTCCTCCTGCTCCCCCACGCGTCTCGGCTTCAGCCGATTATTATTCCGACGATCCGTTAAGCCTGAGGCCTCGAGTCGTGACCGTGGCCATTGGGCACATCACCGTGCGCGTCCAGTCCGCACGGCTCGCCGCGGGGGCTCTGCAACGCGAGCCCAGGTAGGCGCGGGGGTAGAGTACGCGCCAAGGAGCAGCGAGATCGGACGACGGGACGGAGACGAGAAGGACGGCGTCGCGCGGTGGGGACGTCGACGAGGTGTATTGGGACGCTGCGCGGTGCATGGGCGCGCGCCATGGTGCGTCGTCCCCTCACTCCCTCTACGCGTCGTTCTTTGGCTTCAGCTGATTGGGATTGGTTGTCGATCGGTTAGGTCTTGATAGGTCTTGAGATATACTCGTGCCAACACCATGCACCAAGCACCCAGTCAACACGCTGGGGACGCGGCAAGGATGGGATGACGCCCGCGGCGTGCGCTCCAGAACCCCAGAACTCCAGACCGCTGCGCGCGCATTTGGGGAACAGTAGGCACGCAGCCGGATCGCAGCGGCAGCAGGACACTCCCAGAGCGCGCGTCTAAACCTCAATACAGCCCGGAGGGGAGGGGCGGGACGCAGGGTAACCCGACGGCGGTGCGCATCCTGCTCCGGCGCATCTGGGGGTCTATTGTGGAATGATTCATTCGTCCTGGCTTTCCCGCTGGACTCTGCCAATCGTCTCCACGCCGAGATTACTGCGTCAGCGAATAGTACTGTCGCAACCCAGTGTGGGAAACGCTAACGTCGCTGACTCGCCTGGCTCGTACGCCATTTGCTTCCCTTTGCGGGTCCATCCCAGCCGTGAATCTCGATTCTGTCGATGATTTGTAACCACGCCATCGACTTCATACCTCCCGGACGATTATCAACCCATTCGGCCCATGCGGTTTCCATTGCGGAATCGAACGGTGCGTGCTATGTATATATCAATGCATCCTGTGCCTGAGGCTCACCATTAATTGTAGCTCTGCCTTGACGATTCCGACCCGTCGCATCGAACATTCGATGACGGGTACCCGGGCGCTGGATTAGACCTCGACTATCCGGCGATAGGCCTCGTCAGCACCATCTCTACAGACCCGCCGGAGCTGAATTGGATCTACGCGGACGGCGACACGCTGGAGTTGAAGTACGGGAACAAGTCGGCCAGCCGGCCTGGATCATGATCACGGCCCTTGGGACTGGGCAGACGATCAGAAGGCGTTGATTCTGGATGAATGGGATGGGTTTGTTGCCTTGGAAGAATCGCCGGGTGTGTGGGTCATACTTTACGACGAAGATGATCATTTGAAGTGGGTTCGAGGTAGCGCTGCTGGGCGTGTCGCAGAAATCAGTTTGCAGAGGCGAATTTCGGGCAACCTAGCGCGTAGTAAGTATCCTGCCACGCGTTAGTTCTCAATTTATCGTGTCTCCGGAATTCGAGGTGTTGGTTGATGACATCACCTGGGCGCTTACTTGGGCGCTTGTGGCTTGTGGGTCCCGTGGGAGCGCCTCCCCTTTTTAGATCTATGGAGACATTCCTAAGATGGCGATGGCAAGCCTTACAAACCCCACCAAGCACCACAGAAATGTGCTCCTGTCGCCACATTACGCGGTACCGCATCACGGCTGACGACGAGGCGTCATGTAGCCACATTACGGCCTGCAACTCGTATATAAAGGATATTGCTCGCCTAGCCGAGGTTTGAGATAATTCTCTTCCGCACAACTTCAGAAACAAACAACCCCTTTACAACTTAAAGCACGACCATGTCCGACATCCACGAGGACGCACCGGCGCTCAGGCAAGCATCACCTCTGCATTTCGACGACAACGCCTCCAACTCGAGCAGAGCGGACGATCGCCCTGAACAAGAGCAGGAGACGGACCGCAAACTTGCTGAGCGTCTCTCCACGCTCATCGAGAATGCCAATTCCAAGTGTACGCCTGTGTGCAAGATGATCCGCAAGGTGCGAGGAGCTCCACCGCGTCTCTGCAGTCGTCCAACTAACGGGGTTAATTCTCCGCAGCACATCGAAAACATGGACGCGCGCAAAGAAGAAGACCGGGACGAAGCTGAGCTCGTCAAGAACGTCAAACCTCTGCTTGAACAAGCGGAGAAGATCTTGAACGAGACCAACGGCGCCATCCGCGGTGCGGATCCCGACAACCGCTTGAGCAACAAGGCCACGCGGAACCAGCAAGACCACAAGGCGACGCCGGAGGAACAGCGGCTCGCGGAGGCCTTGAAAGTCGTAAGCACACCCTCGCTTTACTCGCTTGAAATTCCGTTGCCGATTTTTGCAATTTTCTTTTTGTAGATGCTCGAGGAAGTCGGCGGCACCATCGAATGGGCCAAAGACAAGCTCGATTCGTTCCCCAAAGCGAAGAAGGATCTGGGCCCTCTTCTTGATGCGCTCGGCCGTGAGTTATTCCTTGAATACCTGGTGTCGTTTGCTCACCTCAAGGTTGACAGAACCCTTGACCCAGATCATCGGAGGTGTCGGTCTTTTGCTGACGGGTGTCCTCAACCTTGTTGGGCGCTTGCTCAGCGGCCTCGGTCTCGACAGTCTCCTGAAAGGCATCGTCGGCGCTACAGGCCTCGACAAGATCTACAAAGGTCTCGGACTCGGCAAGATGTTAAATTACTAGTAGCTCCAATTATACATGTACATTATGGGCAATGGATGAACGTTCAATTGCATTGGTTGAGGATGTAGAGGAAGTAAATCCAAACTTTCAGCGCAGCGATTGGGCGAAGGATCGGACAATGGACGCACGAATGAAATTAGAAGAGAACTCCCCTCGAAGCTAGAAGCCCAATGGCGATATTAATTGTTGACCCCAGGTGCTGCCGGTTGATATGGCCTCAGGAGAACAATTAAACCTAGGGGAATTGGCTCACTAAGGGGTAACTCAGTACCGCGGTAAGCGCGTAGGTTGTCCACCGAATCTTATCGTACATGCCTTCAATAATTAATATTCCTCTGCGACGACAACGATTTTCCCGTGTTCGTCCCCTTCTGCACAGCGAGTATCGCGTCGCTTACCTTGTCTAGCCTGCGCGTAATGTCCTCCGCATACTTGATCTCCCCGCTCGCGAGCTTCGCCGGAATGGTCGCGTAGAACTCCTTTTCGGATTTGCTTTGCAGGGCGATAGAGGCGCCATGCTGTATCAGTAATGACCCTCGTCCGAGTCAACGAGTATCCATCACGGCGATCTTCGGCGGATGTCGATCTCTATGCGGAGAAACCAACCAGTGAGTAGTATTTGGTGTGCCGAGGAGAGTGTTTTTGATCCACTCTACACCGACTTCTTTCCATCGACGTCAATCAATTGCGCGCCCGGTATCCATCAGGTTGTTGGTCGGATCCAGGAACTGCCAGAGACGGCCAGCACAACCCCAGTCGCCATCGATGGGTGAACA